TGCCCCCGTAACGCAGCCCTCGGCCGGTGCCCCCGTAACGCAGCCCTTGGCCAGTGCGCATGTAGTATCTGCTTCTGTACCTGCTGTCTCTTCAACAACCTCAACTACATCACCATCTTCTGTGTCTTCGACTTCCTCTACTTTCACCTCTCAGCATCATTCCTTAGAATTCAAAATACCAATTCAAGAAACGGGAAAGTCAATGGATAGAGAAGAAAACAAAGATGACAAACTGCCTGTACAGGTAACGTGGCAATTTATTCTGCAATTCTTTACTGATATAATATGAAACTCCACTATCAGTGCTGTCATTCAGATCTCCATGGACTTAAGTAGAAGGGATATATAATTCTTAAGTGGATTGGTATGCTCTTTAGTTTTTAACGTTTGTTCCTTTTTCTTGCTTAGAATGCATGTAATTTTAATTTCCTTATTGAAGAAGAATTGTGGTTCCCGCACCAGCTGGGTAATCATGAAGAACTCTCTTTCTCAACCTCTCCCCTCTTCTGAGGTGTGGTGACCCTCGGGTTAAACCACCATCGTTCATCTCTCTCTCTCTCTCTCATGAGAGAGCAACTCTATGGTCTGGTAAGATAATGGTGACTTGGTCTTAAATGCTTTAGGGTCAGTTCAGAGGACATTTATGAAACTGATGTCCAGAATCAACAAGTCCTCTTAACAGGATAGGCCAGAGAGGCTGGACTTATTTCCACTGGAGTTGAGAAGAGTAAGAGGTAACTTGATTGAAACGGATAAGATCCTTGACAAGATGGATGTGGAAAAATGCTTACTCTTGTGGGCGAGTTGAGCAGTAGGTAGTACTGTTTCAAGATTTCCCTTTTAGGACTGAAGTGAGTGACAAAAAACATTCTCTGAGGGTTTTGCAACTTTGGAAATCTCTGCCTGAAAGAGCAGTCAAGGCAAGGTCATTGAATATTTTTAAGACAGATTCTTGTTTGATGAGGGAACCAAAGGTTAATAGGGTAGATAATATAAAACAAACAGATCGGCCATGATCTTACTGAATTGGCACAGCAGGCTCAAGAGCTGAATGGCTGACTTCTGCTCCTAGATCATCTGTTTGTGCATAGGTTATTTACAGCTTTCATGACTCGGTATTGAATGCAACAATTTCTGACTGTAAACTGTCCTGTTTGCTATCCTTTCTTTGCATGTAAGTTTTCCTCTTATTTTTGCTTTCAGTCAGCTGCACTCCTGCTCTAGGCTCATCTTTTGTTTCTTGCCCCAACACCATTCCTTCTGGCCCTGGAGGATTAATTTGAGGATTAATTTCTTCTGCCCTTAGTCCTGCTGGAGACCTTGCTTTGACCTTGCCCCTCCTCCATTGGTCCAAACAATCTCTTATTTTTCTTAGTTTTGATGCATGGTCATTGAAATGAAAGGTAAACTCTTTCCTCCACAGCCCTGCTGAGCATTTCTATCAATTTCTACTCTTATTTCAGATTTCTGGCATCTATAGTATTCTGGTAAGTTACTCTTGTCAAAAAAAATCAACAACTGTCTAGCAAAATGACAGACTGGAGAATACGAAAAAAAGCACTTGTGGTAAATGAATTGTAAATCCAGATTAAATTTAGTATTGTATATGGACAGATTATGGAAAATGTAAAAACAACAGGGTTGATATAGTGAGTGATTTTAACTTCTCCTATATTGATTGGGACTTGCTTAGTACCAGCGACGTGGATTTTGGTCGGCGGGGGGCTAGAATTTGCTAGGTGTGTCCAGGACAGTTTTTTGAAACAATATGTAAATAATCCAGAAACAAAACAGAAATTGCTGAAAAGCTTAGCAGGTCTGGCAGCATCTGTGGAGAAAAATCAGAGTTAATGTTTCGGGTCGAGTGACAGACACTTAAAGAACACATGGATGAACTTCAACAATTGTACATGCCAGCTGGCATAAGAGTAACACAGGAAAGGTGGCGCAACCATGGCTAACAAGGGAGATCAGGAACAATGTTAAAGCTAAAGAGGAGGCATATAAATTGGCTAGAAAAAGCAGCAAACCCAAGGACTGGGAGAAATTTAAAATTCAGCAGAGGAGGACAAAGGGTTTAATTCGAAAGGGAAAATAGAATATGAAAGTAAGCTTTTGGAAAACATAAAAACTGACTGCAAAAGTTTCTATAGATATGTGAAGAGAAAAAGACTGGTGAAGACAAATATATGTCCCTTGCAGTTAGAATCAGGTGAATTCATAATGGACAACAAAGAGATGATAGACCAGTTGAACAAATACTTTGGATCTGTCTTCACTAAGGAGCACGCAAATAATCTTCTGGAAATGCTCGGGGACAGAAGGGCAAGCTTGAAGGAGGAACTGAAAAAAATCTTTATTAGTCCGGAAATGGTGCTGGGGAAACTGACGGGATTAAAACTCAATAAGTCCCCAGGGCCTGATGCTCTGAATCCCAGAGCACTTAAGGAAGCGGCTCTCAAAATAGCAGATGCATTGGTGATCATTTCCCAGCATTCTGTAGATTTTGGAAGAGTTCCAATGGACTGAAGGGTAGTTCATGTAACCCCACTTTTTAAAAAATGGAGGGAGAGAGAAAACGGGGAATTATAGGATGGTTAGCCTGACTTCGGTGGTGGGGAAGATGCTGGAGTCAATCCAAAGTTAAGAATATAATAACTGAGCATTTGGAAAGCAGTGACAGAATCAATCCTAATCAGCATGGATTCACTAAAGGGAAATCATGTTTGACAAATCTTCTGGAATTTTTTGAGGATGTGACCAGTTGAGTGGACAAGGGTGAATCAGTTGCAGTTGTGTACCTGGACTTTCAAAAGGCTCTTGACAAGGTTCCACACAAGAGACTAGTAAGGAAAAATTATAGCTCATGTTATCAGAGGTAATGTATTGAGATGGATGGAGAATTGGTTGACAGACAGGAAGCAGAAAGTTGGAATAAATCGGTCCTTTTCAGAATGACAGGCAGTGACGAGTGGGGTACCACAGGGTTCTGTGTTGCGACCCCAGCTGTTCACATTAATGATTTGGACAAAGGAATTAAAGCCATATCTCCAACTTTACAGGTGACACTAAGCTGGGTGGCAGTGTGTGCTGAGAGGAGGGTGATAAGAGGCTCCAGGGTGACTTGGACAGACTGGCTGAGTGGGCTAATACTTGGCAAATGCAATATAATGTGGGTAATCGTGAGGTTATCCACTTTGATCACAAAAACAGGAGGCAGATTATTATCCAAATGGTGGCAGTTTAGGAAAAGGTGAGGTGCAACGAGACCTGGGTGACATGGTGGAACAGTCACTGAAGGTTGACATGCAAGTGCAGCAGGCAGTGAGGAGAGCTAATGGCATGCTTGCCTTGAGTATCAGAGTAGGGATGCCATGCTGCAGTTATCCAGGGCTTTGATGAGGCCACACCTTGAGTATTCTGTGCAGTTTTGGTCTCCTAGTCTGAGGAAGGACATTCTTGCTATTGAGGGAGTCCAGCAAAGGATCACCAGACTAATTCCTGGGATGGCATGACTGACATATGAAGAATGACTGGCTTGATGGAGCTCGTATTTGCTGGAATTTAGAAGAATGAGAGGGGATATCATAGAAACATATAAAATCCTGATGGGACTGGACAGGCTGTTTGCAGGAAGAATGTTCCCGATGTTAGGGAACTCCAGAACAAGGGGTCACAGTCTAAGAATATTGGGTAAGCCATTCAGGACTGAGATGAGGAAGAATTTCTTCACTCCGAGTTGTGAATCTGTAGAATTCTTTCCCACAGGAAGCTGTTGGGGCCATTTCATTCAATATATTCAAGAGGGAGCCAGTCATGACCATTGCAACTAAAGGCATCAAGGGAGATGGGAGAGGGCAGGAATAGAATACTGAGATTGCATGATCAGCCATGACCATATTTAATGGTGGTACAGGCTCAAAGGACCGAATGGCCTACTTCTGCACCTGTTTTCTAAGTTTCCGTGACCCTTCCTCAGAATTGGTTTCTCTTTACAGATGCTGTCAGATGTGCTGAGCTTTTCCAGCAATTTCTGTTTTTGTTTCTGATTTACAGCATCTGCAGACTTTCGATTTTTATTTAATATGTCCAACTAAGGAAGTGGCCATACTAGACATGGTATATGAAAATGAGCCATGCAAGGCGATTGAAGTTTAGAAGCATTTCGGCAACAGTGACCATATTTCTCTGAGTTAAAGATAAGAATAAGAGTAATTCTTGGGTGAAAGTACTAAATTCAGAGATGGCTAAATACCACAATATTAGGCAGGAACTGGGGAATGTAGACGGGGGGGCAGCTGTTCGAGGGCAAGTCCACATCTGGCATGTAGGAATCTTTTAAAGGCCAGTTGAGTTTGGGATCAGCACGTTCCTCAATCTTATCCTTCACTTTCACAGGAACCTTGGATGACAAGAGAAATTGAGAGCTTAGTCAAAAAGAAGAAGGAGTCATCTGTAAGATTTAGGAGGTTGAGGACAGACAGAGCCCTTGAAGAATACCAAGATAGCAGGAAAGAACTCAAACAAGGAATTAGCATGGTTAAAAAGTGCCATGAAATCCTTTAGGCAAATGGGATTTAGGAAAATTCCTAGGTACTTTTTATATATCATATATATACGGAGTAAGAGGGTAGCTAGGGAGAGAGTGCGTCCTCTCGAGGTCAAAGGAGAAGATTTATGAGTAGAGCCAGAGGAAATTGATGAGGTGCTTAACGAATACCTTGCGTTGATATTCAAAGGAGAAGGACATGTTTATGGTGAGTCTGAGGAGGGGTATGTTGATATTCTGGGCATGTCAATATAAAAGAGATGTTGAGTGTTTTAAAACGTATTAAGATAGACAAGTTCCCAGGACCTGATGGGATCTATTTCAGTATGCTGAGGGAGGCATGTGAGGGAATTTCTGGGGCCTTATACAAAATCTTTGCATCATCTTTAGTCATAGGAGAAGTTCCAGAGAGCTGGAGAACAACCAACATTGTTGTTCCTTTGTTTAAGAGTGGCATCAGGTATAATCCAGGAAATAGCAGTCCAGTGAGCCTTATGTCAGGGGGAGGGAAATTATTGGAGAAGATTCTTAGGGAAAGCGTATACTCACATTTGGAAAAATATGGACTTATTAGCAATAGGCATCATGGCTTTTTGCGGGGCAGGTCATGTCTCACAAACTTGAATGAGTTTTTTGAGGAAGTGGCAAGGATGATGAGGGCAGGACAGTAGATGTTATCCATGCGGACTTTAGCAAGGCCTTTGACAAAATCCCTCAGAGCAGACTGATACAAAAGACGAAGTCAAATCGGATTTGCGGTCAGCTGGTAAGTTGGATATAGAACTGGCTTAGTCATAGAAGACAGAAAACAGCTGTGGAAGGATATTTTTCTGACTGGTGTTCTGGGACCAGTGGTGTTCCACAGGGATCACTGCTGGATACTTGTTGTTTGTAGTGTAATATAAATGACTTGGAGGAGAATGTAGGTGGCCTGATGAGTAAGTTTGTGGATGATGCAAAGGATTGCCAGAGGATACAGCAGTACATAGGTAAGCTGGAGACTTGGGTGAAGGAATGGCAGGTGGAGTTTAATCCGGACAAATGTGAGGTGATGCATTTTGGAAGCTCTAATGCAGGAGGGCAACATACAGTAAATAGCAGAACTCTTAATAGCATCGACATACAGAGGGAAATAGGCATACAGGTTGACAACTTCCTGAAAGTGGCAACATAACTGGATAAGGTGATCAAGAAGGCATATAGCGTGCTTGCCTTCATCGGTCGGGGCGTAGAGTATAAAAATGCAGCTGTAAAGAACTTTAGTTCAGCCATATTTGGAATGTTATGTACAGCTCTGACCGCCATACTACCAGAAGGATGTGGAGGCTTTGGAGAGGATACAGAAATGGTTTACCAGGAAGTTGCCTGGTTTGGAGGGTATTGACTATGAGGAGAGATTGGACAAACTTAGTTTGTTTTCAGTTGAACGTCAAAGGACGATAGAAGGTTACAAAATTATAAGAAGCAAGCATACAATGGATGGTCGGCGTCTTTTTCCCAGGGTAGAAATATCAATTCATAGGGGACCTAGGTTTAAGGTAAGAAGGTGTAAGTTTAAAGGAAATGTGAGAGCCGAGGTTTTTTTACAGAGGGCAGTAAGTGCCTGGAATGCGCTGCCAGAGGAGATGGTGGAGATGGAAACAACAGCAATGTTTCAGAGGCATCTTTACGGATATGAGTAGGCAGGGAATAGAGGGATACAGACAGCGAAGAGGCAAACGGTTTTTAGTTTAGAAAGGCATCATGTGTTGGTGGAGTCTTAGTGGGTCAAAGGGTCTGTTCCTGTGTCATATCGTTCATTGTTCTTTGTTTGTTGAGGAAATACACTGTTTTCCCTGATCCAACTGCCCTACAGAAGGCGCTTTGTTTTTAGTATATTTTTCTGACAGTAATTTGCTGAGTCCGACTTCAGTGGTGTAAAAATGACTGGAATCAATAATAAGATATTGGATTAACTGTTACTTGCAGAGGTATGGATTAATCAGGGACGTTTAGCGTGATATTCAAAAGGGATGGGTGTGTCTTACTGACATGATTGAATTTTTTGAGGAAGTAGCAAAAAGTATTGAGGAGGGTAGTGCAGTGGATGTTGCTGACATGGATTTTAGTAAGGCATTTGACAAGGTCCCACATGGCAGACTGTTAAGAAAAGTTAAAGCTCATGGGATATGTTTAAGAGGCATCTTGACAGATATATGTTAGGGAATAGAAGGATACAGACTGCATAGAGGCAAAAGGTTTTTCATTTAGAAGGGCATCATGTGTTGGCGTGGCCTTGGTGAGCTGAAGGGCCTGTTCCTGTGCTGTACTGTTTTTTGTTCTCTTTATTTGTTAAGGAAATACATAGTTTGCCATGATGCAGCTGCCCCACAGAGGGTGCTTTGTGGTGAGATGGATCCAAAATTGAAAAAGCTGTGAAAACTCAGCAGGTCTGGCAGCATCTGTGGAGAGAAAGTAGACCAAAATTTCTGAAGAAAGGTCACTAGAGCAGCATCCGCAGTTCTTTGGTATTTGTTTTGGATCCACAATTGGCTGAGTGACAGGAAATAAAGGGTAATCGTTGATGGATCATAGTATCACAGAATCCCTACAGTGTGGAAGCAGGCCATTTGGCCCATTGAGTCACACCACCCCTCTGAAGAGTATCCCACCCAGAGTCATCCCTCTACCCTATCCCTGTAACTGTGTATTTCCCATGGCTAATCCATTTAGGCTGCATATCCCTGAACACTGTGGGCAATTTAGCATGACCAGTGCACCTAACCTGCACATCTTTGGACTGTGTGAGGAAACCGGAGCACCCAGAGGACACCGACACAGATACGGGGAGAATGTGCAAACTCCACACAGGCTGTCGCCCGAGGTTGGAATCAAACATGGGATCTGTGAGGCAGCAGTGCTAACCACTGAGCCACCGTGCCGTGGGTGTTTTTGCAAATGGCAAGTGATGTTCCACAGGGTTCTGTGTTAGGTCCTTTGCTGTTTGTGGTGTGTATGAGGACTTACAATATGGATTTATATGTGCAAAGCATGATTGGAAATTTGCAAATGATGATAGAATTGGCTGGGAAGCTGTCAATGAAAAGGATGACTGTCAGCTGCAAAATAATAAGGGGTTTGGATAGAGTGGACAAGGAACACCTGTATTCCTTGACAGTGGGTACAGATTTAAGTGATTGGTAGAAGAATTAGAGGGGACATGAGGGCAAGGCTTTTCACCCAGAGGCTGGTGGTTGTCTAGAATTTGTTGCCCTGACCAAGCTAGGAAACAGGTTGAATCTTTTTGCTATTAAGATCCTTTTAAATTGTCACATATGCGTGTAGTTTTTTTTCTGCTATGTAATTAACTCGTACTCTTCAGTTAGAACAGCATTGATAGTCCTGTGTCAATATGTTCTGTGACTAAACACCATGATAAACAAACTGAAAAATAAAACTTATCAAGCCAGGCTGCTTTATGGGATCTGACTTGACCAGTGTTACCCATCAGCTAGGATCATTGCAGGACTCCCATTTGGTGTCTCACTTGCGCGTGAAGCACATTAAATAATAAGATATCAGGCTGTAAATTTGGCTGGTGACCTTTAAAAATGTATCCCTTTTGAGAAACCCCTCTGATTTTGTTGCCTCACCTTTCCTTTCCTCCATTCATTAACTCTGGTTCTTTGTGTACTGACAGACTGCTCTTCCTTCACAATAGCTGGTATTACTGTGACCCGAAGGATTTAAGTGTGCAAACCTTTTCTGTGAGGTTACAATAAAAAAAAATTTTGTATAGTTCATAATTCTGATTAATTTGGAAGACTGTACTGTCAAAAATCTGCACCATTTCACTTTCTAAGTTAAATGATTATAATTGGTCAGAGTTTTTTTCTTTGTTCAATTTCTTTTCCTGAGAAATGTTGCATTTGCTTTTAAGGTCCTCAAGATATTAAGACAATTCCTGTTATTGGTAACAGATGTTTACTGTCTTTTCAAAATCTAAAACTTGTGTGAAGTGAGCATAAAAAATCACTACATTCAATCAAAAGCAATGGGCCAGATTTTGCTCTGAACAATGTATGAATGGTACAAGCAATTTTGTCGGACTTTGCACCTGCTCACATGCTTGCTATGGGGATTTAAACAGCAAGTTGCGGTCAGATACATGTTCAAACAGCCGAGTATTCTCTTGAGCACATCAGGATTTGATCAACAACTATTGATTCTGAATCAGGATGCTGGCTGGAACAAAGACCAAGTCATTACAGAAAGCAACATAATGAGGGCAAGAAAGATTGGATTAAGAGAGAGAGACAAAAGAGGAAATAAAAGTAAAAGTAAAACTCCAACAATAATTTAAAATCCAAAGCTATGAGACTCCACATTTGTAAAGGCTATTTTTCAGTCTCAGAAAGGAAGTTCGACAGGAATTTAAGTCTTACAGAAATAAATAAGTTCTCACCTTTGCTAATGAATTCAGCCTTATCTGTGTCTTATGTACAACAAGTTTCAGATTTCTGCTTTTAATTGTATATGTGTGGTTGTTGGAAATGCGAGTTCAATTTCCATGCAATTGTAATGCTGATAAATCTAGCCCATTATCTTAAAACAATGACTGACTCTTGCTACATTTTCCCATGCTGTGACAAAAAATACTAACATTTATTTTGGTGATATACAAACACAAACTAAGTTGGAAACACCAAATAATTTGTACAGCAAAGTTAATAAAACTTGATTTAGAAAGTTTAGAATTAAGGGTTGGTATTCATCGCTGTATTTTTCGACTAGATGCTTTGATATCTTAAATGTAAGTTATTTGACATAATTTGCATTGCATTATGGAAATGAGATTTATGAGTTGACTTTTTTTTCATTTTTAAAGGTGAAGATGGGTACTTTTGATGATTCAAAGTCCAGTGATTCTTTCCAATCTCCAAGGAATCATACCATAAATTCAGATCGGAGTAGCACTGGTGAGAAAAGAAATATAAATGAAATATTCACAGCCAATATTGATCAAGCTGGGAGAGAAATAAAAAACAATCAAGCTTGTGCAGATGACTCTGCAACCTGCAGACAAGTACACACACACAGACCTCAGTTAAATGATAATGATTTTGAGAGCATTGGTAAACCAGGAGTGTTGCAGAGTGATGTTCAGAATAAGCAGTCAGAAACTCAGGCTGAAAGTTGCTGTGAAATAACAAGTGTCGATTTACAGCTCAGTCAAAACCCCGTGGATAATTCAAGCAACGAGAATAATGCAAACAGAGCCATGCCAAATGCCAACCTTAATCCAAGAGATATGTCCAAAGAGGCCAACTCTTTGAATTTGGGTGATAGTAGTAGTCAGGGAGCTAATGTTTCTTGTGACTACGATGACAAAAACTCAATTAAAGAACAAAAGATTCGAGCATTACAAGGTTATCAGAATGATCAGCTGCAACAAAGCTTTTATGATGTTCACAGTCCATTGAATATACAATTGAATTTTGATGCTCAGAAAAAAATAGGTGAGGGCGTAGACTCTGATCAAAAGCACACATTAAATCAAAACGAAAATATTGAATACAAATGCAGGGCTTTTCAGACACATAACACTGAAATTGCAAAAAGTGGCCATGATGGGGCTGACTCTGAAGTTGAATGCATGAAAAATGTGCAAACAAACAACAGCACAGATTCAATTTCCAACAGTGAACAATTAAGCAGTTCTTGTACTGTTTGCTCATATAGACATCTTTTGATTAGTGGTGACTATGTCAGTGAGCCAAGTGCTCATGTGGAACACAACTCCCAAAATGCAAATCGATTGAACAATGATCCACTGCTTCCTGCATGTCAGCTAATTGGCACACAGGCATCAGGTCAGATCAGCGATATGGATGGTTTGCAAGAAAATGCACAAATAGAAACTACTAAGTGTGGAGGCAAACTAGAATGTATGGGAATCCAGAAATGTGAAAACTGGTTTACAGAGACAAAATCAAATAAAAAGTTAAATCTGGAAGTAAATGATTCAAAGAGAGAAAGTTCATCATACTCTTGTGCGAATGAATTGACCCAGAGCACATGTGATGCTAATCCAGGAGTATACAATGAGGATGTCAAGGAACAAAGTGGGTATATTTATCAAGAACCTGATTATGAAGTTGAAGCAGGCAATGATCATGAATTTGAAGCAGCAATTCTGGAAGATGCTAGGTGGCATGATTTTGGGAATAGCTCTATTAATGCTTTGTCTACTGAGTGTGTTTCTTTGATCTCGAGGAAAGAGCCACAACCTAAAAAGCCTGTAAAATCAAATGGGGACATAACACAGTCAAATTACCTATTTGCAACAATGTCAGTTCTGGTATTATCAGTTGTTGCTGTGTGCATATGGAAATACTGCCATAAATAAGGACCATTGTGACCTGAGATAACAAGGTGTAGAGCTGGATGAACACAGCAGGCCAAGCAGCATCAGAGGAGCAGGAAGGCTGATGTTTTGGGCCTAGACCCTTCTTCAGATTTTCTGAAGAAGGGTCTAGGCCCGAAACGTCAGCCTTCCTGCTCCTCTGATGCTGTTTGGCCTGCTGTGTTCATCCAGCTCTACACCTTGTTATCTCAG